TAATTTAGCTTGATTTCTCTTATAACGTAATATCTTTGAAGGGGGCTAGTATGAAATTAATTCATGATATTAAGCTCTTGCTGGCCATGACAATATAAGCATGTCAAATTAATAAACTAATTCGAGTGAATGAGAATAAGACTTGTAATTGTTTAAATATTTGTGGTGTTTCTATCAGTTAATGTTAATAAGTGCTTTCTTAATAAGGGCAATGGAATTTTTTTAATAAATCGTAATTTATGAAAAGCAGATTTCTATATTAAGTGATGCATTTATTCTTCATGTTGATGAGGCTTATATATGGCGGTAAAAAAATACTTTCAAGAAAGTCAACCTATCTCCAACTTTGATTATAAAATCAACTTTACTATTAAATAAGCCTAGCATGCATATTATGCTCATTCCGCAGAAAATGAAAGCAATTAATTCTAATTTCTATCCTCTTAGGAAGACTACCGCTTTCACAAAGTCATATCTCAGAAAATTAGTCATTTCCCCTAATTATCCTGCCTACAATACAAAAAGCCCTCCTGAATAGCATCTCACTAGTTTAAAGGATGAATTAAGCTAAGAAAACTATAAGACCTTGAACAATTTATCAGCCAGGTTGTTACAAAAATTAATAAAACAGGCTTTAAACCAATAATAAAATGTTTTTCCTTCGAACAATATATATCCGACCAGCTAGACCTTTAGTTCGATATGACAATAGATATTTAGTGAATCAGAAAAATATCCACTATAGATATGTGCTCGGCTTCGTGTTACCTTCTAGACTACCACAGCTCTGTATTGAGGAACAGAAAAACGAGTCACAGAGTGCCTATAAGTGAGAAGGAAAGTTGCAGGCAAGGAGCTAGATGTGGGAAAAACTCAGAAGATGCTAGAGTGTGGTGTTAGTGCGAGAGAGCAGAATTCGGCCTCAATGAATGACGATGGCGCAAGGTGAGACAATGGGCGGCACAGTTCACAGTCGAGCTTGTTTCATACTTAAAATACTCTTTTGCACTTCAAGTGTCAGGTTCTGATTGGTGACTAGATTCGCCTAGTCCCCGTGGTATACAGCGCCAGTGTTGCATGAGTCAAGAGAGGATCGTGAAATGTAGCAAAACTGATTGTGAAGTAAAGTCACTAAATTTGTTAGTATTGATAGGTTAGACGTTTTATGGCAATACTATCTGCTCCACATTATCCTTTTGACAAAAATGAAACGAGCGTCTATATCCTCTTCTATTCTTTTGTTATTCTCTCTGTACCAATCTTGGCCTGAGAATTGTGAAAGCATATGTTAATCTCTTTTACAAACTATAAAGTATTATTATATTTTATTTATCATCTTTAAATAATTTTTCTAGTCACTTAATAGACTTATTTTATGGAGGCACAATTATATGTCGCAATTATAAATGAAGTTCTTATTCCATTTTATATAAGTGGAATTCAACTGGGTTCATACGATATTATTGTACTTTGATAATGGATAGATGCTGTTGAATGTAGTATGTATCATTGCTCTACTGGTTTTCCTTTTCTGTTGATATGATCTTCATCTCCCTAGCTTATATAACCAACAACCAAGGCTGGTTTAAGTCAAATCTTTATAAATTGCATTACCCCTTGCTTCTATAATTAGGTTGAACCCTGTTGCTGGATGACTTATACATCCCACCGCGAGACTCAAGAAACGCTTTCAATTTTGGATAGTCTTGAATTGGATACAGACAAAAAGACGGAGGAAGAATTATATGGAAAGTTTAAAATGGAAGAAGCCTATCAGTTGGGACAACTCACAATGTGGCAGCGAGTTAAGCCAAAGATTTGGATGTTATTTGATGAGCCATATTCTTCAGGCGGAGCCAAGGTAAATTTCATTTTAAAAACGTATATAGTATGAATCTCAGATAGAATCGTAACATTTGCTCACATTTAAATAAATAATTAAATATGCTTCATACAATACCTTTAGTACAAAATTATAAAATTTGGCCAAATTAACGACATATCCATGCTATTAGATTAATAAGAATATACATGTGAGGTAGCTTTGCTA